TTAGAGTGTGTATGCCTGAGTAGGGGGAAGGGCGTAGGAGAGGGGGAGAGAGAATCTCATGCAGACTCAGCGGGGCTTGATCTCACGACCCTATCTTGTCTCAAGCCGAAATCGAGTCCGACAGAGCCACCTAGGCACCCCAAAGATACCAGATTTCATCTCAAGATCTTTAGCTAATTATATCGGCAAAGACCCTATTTCCAAATCAGGTCACATCCTAAGTTTCAGGTGGACATGAATTTTGGAGGGATCCTTTCAACCCACTTCTAGTGTTTCTTTCTTTTTTTTTTTTAAAGATTTTATTTATTTATTTGAGACAGAGAGAATGAGATACAGAGAGCATGAGAGGGAGGAGGGTCAGAGGGAGAAGCAGACTCCCCGCCGAGCAGGGAGCCCGATGCGGGACTCGATCCCGGGACTCCAGGATCATGACCTGAGCCGAAGGCAGTCGCTTAACCAACTGAGCCACCCAGGCGCCCCACTTCTAGTGTTTCTTACTCTTAAGTTTCTGTGGGTTTGTTTAAAAATGAAACTTGAAGCTTATTGTTAGTCATTAACCTCCTACTTATCTTGCCTGAGTAAAAGGCAAATAAACTTTAAAATGGAGACCTATAATATATATGTTTGCTCTTAATTATATTTTTGGCAATTGTTTTCATTCCAGCCTGCCTTCCTCTGCCACCTGTGAGCTCCTTTGAGCTGATTAGTGTCTTTAGGAAAGCCAGGCCAGTTTGGGTGTATAGAAGGAGCATTGCAGGCACTGTGGGAACAGAGCCTCTGTAGAAACCACATTCTAACCCCCAACCAAATATATATACAAATCAATGTATATTTGTATAGGAAAGCTCTTGTCACTCTTATGATTAGAACAAATAATTTTGATTATATAAACTATGTAAATGTGCCTAAGTGGGGCACCTGGGTGGCTCAGTTGTTAAGCGTCTGCCTTCGGCTCAGGTCGTGATCCCAGGGTCCTGGGATCGAGCCCCACATCGGGCTCCCTGCTCCGCGGGGAAGACTGCTTCTCCCTCTCCCACCCCCCCTGCTTGTGTTCCCTCTCTCACTATGTCTCTCACTGTCAAATAAATAAATAAAAAATCTTAAAAATAAATAAATAAATAAATAAATGTGCCTAAGTCCACAGGATTAGGACAGCTTTTCATGGGGCACCTGACTGGCTCAGTCACTAGAACAAGCGACTCTTGATTTCAGGGTCATGAGTTTGAGCCCCATGTTGGGCATAAACATTACTTAAAAAAAAAACAAAACCAACAAAACAACTTTTCTTTGAAAACATTAACAGTTCACTCTGTTTTGTTACTTTATGCTTTTAACAAATTTATCCTTCTACAGCTTCAAGAAGAAAAAATTTGTCAGTGTTGTATGACCTTTGATGAAAAGAATAAAAAATAGTTTTCGGGTGCCACATTTGTAGAGGGACATTGAGGGGAAGAATATCAGGGTTGTGAAGACTGGAAAATGTACTATAAGAAATGATTAAAGTATTTGAGCATGTTTGGCCTGAAAAGAAAAAACAGTAAAATTGTAGATGTTGTGAATGATTTGAAGGACTGTGTGTGGAGGAGGTGTTAAGTTTATTTCACATAACTCCAGCAGGCAGAACCAGGACTAATTGGTAGAAACACTAGGTTTGTGTCATCTCATTAAAAGGAAGAACTTTGTGGGGTGCCTGGGTGGTTCAGTTGGTTAAGGGTCTGACTCTTGATCTCACCTCAGGTCTTGATCTCAGGATTGGGAGTTCAAGCCCCATGACCTTTTAAGAAAAAAAAAAAAAAGGAGGAGGAACTTTCTGCTATATGAAGTAGAGAGTTCTCTTTTAAGATGAAAATTAAGATTAAAATTGAAATTAAGGGGTGCCTGTGTGGCTCAGTTGGTTGGGCATCTGCCTTAGGCTTAGGTCATGGTCCCGGGGTCCTAGGATCCAGCCTCTCATCGGGCTCCCTGCTAGGTAGAGAATCTGCTTTTCCCTTTGCCTTTCTCCCCTGGCTTGTGCTCTCTCTCTCGCTCACTCTCTCTCAAGTAAATAAATAAAATCTTTTTAAAAAAATTGAAATTAAGTAGTCTGTTTAGATAGAAATTATGCAAATGACAGTATGGATTAAATCAGCTATTAGGAACCCTTTCAGTAGTATGTGAATTACTTGAAAAAACGGACAGAATGTCCATTTAATTAAGTTTGTTCCCATACCATCTCATTTTCATGTTGAAATCTTACACTTGTAAATTATGTTTCTACCCCAAAAATGTTTTTATGCAGAATGTTTTTCTTGTTTCATTGAAATTTGTAGATATTTCTGAGTAAAGAGGAAAAAGCAAATAGTAAAAGAAAGAATTCAACATCTTTATAACAAGTGAATCCTTAAGATTGATTTTTTAGAAAATAGAGAACCAGGCTGTCCTGTAACTCTTATGCTCAATCAAAGCTCAGTAAGTGCTTTCTGATTTGATATTGTCACTTAATTAGATTTTTGATATGGTATTGCCTTTTAAAAGTATTTTATTATTAGTCTTTTTGATTAGAGGACTCTGACATCTTTAACATTGTAAATTGGAATAAAACTATTGTCATCACTGAGTCATAAGAAGTCAGAAATACCCATTATAGAGAGCAGGTTTTAAAGAAAATGATTTTCAGCAATTTTTGTAAAAAGCTTCTAACAGAAGCAATATACGAATTTCATATGTCAGCAGATGCTGATTTGAAAGCAGAAAATGAGGAGCGTCTGGCTAGCTCCATGGGAAGTTCATGCAACTCTTGATTTCAGGGTCGTGAGTTTAAGCCCCCCCCTTGGAGGTAGAGATTACTCAAATAAATTAAAAAAAAATATTAAAAAAAACCCAACAAAGTGAGATAACATTCATTAATTCTTTTTTTCCATTTTTGATAATTTTGATACCCATTTATTTATCCATGACTTAATATGTCCCTCCTTTCTTCAGAATTACTGAATGACTCATTCCTGGAATTCTGCTCAATTTTTATTTATTTACTTCCGTAATAGTAACAATAATATTTTATTTTTATTGATTACGAACAATGTGCCTGGGTGCTACAATCTATACCTTATTTATTTTATTTTTTTACAATCTGTGCCTTATTATAATACCTTTAATTCTTACAGTGGCCCTGAAGGAGTTACCATTATCCCCATTTTATCAGCAAGGTAAATAAAATGGCTCAGAGACTCAGAGAGGTTGTGTCTTGTCCATGTTTGCGTATCTCATAAATGCCTGAGCCCATTTTAAAGCCAGATCTTTCTTAAAGCCCAGTTCTTTCAGTTCTGTGAGTTTGCTGTTGAGTAGACAGGAAAGTTAGACTCTCTCATCAGGTTCCTCATACACGCTCCTGAATTCCTTTTGAATGAGAGAAGAAATACCGTCACACGTATTTCTGAAAGTCTGGTCCTAGGCATGAATTTACCTTGTGTTTTTAGTTGAAGTCTACACCTGCATTACAAGTGAATGGGACCTTTGGAGAGATGCAAGCAGGACAGAGAGCTGCTCCTCTTCTCTCCAGTTTGAACTTTGTCCATAAGAAAGGAAGAGAGAGGAAACATCGCTCATTGAGATGACTCCTTCAAGTCATTTATTTTTTTTTTT